CTATGATCTATTTTTTAATGATTATTTTTATTTATGTGTATGTCTATATTTGTACATGTGCATGCAGGTGCCTGTGAAGGCCAGAAGAGGGTGTTAGATTCCCCTGGAGCTGGGGTTACAGGCAGCTGTGAACCTCTGGATGTTTTTTTTTTGTTGTTGTTGTTGTTTTTAGATTTTATTTATTTATTTTATATACATGATGAGTACACTGTAGCTATCTTCAGACACATCAGAAGAGGGCATTGGATCCCATTACAGATGGTTGTGAGCCACCATGTGGTTGCTGGGAATTGAACTCAGGACCTCTGGAAGAGCAGCCAGTGCTCTTAACCACTGAGCCATCTCTCCAGCCCTCGAACCTCTGGATGTTAAGTGATGAGAGCTGAACTTGGGTCCTCTGAAGAACAGTAAGTGCTTTAACCACTGAGCAATCTCAACAGCCCCTTAAGACCTATTTAGAATTATTTTTGGGCATCATGGGAAGTAAAGAGCTAAATTACTCTTTTAGTATGTAAGTATTAAATTGTGATGGTGCCATTAATTAAAATATCTCGTATCAGGTGTTGCGGCACATGTCTGTAGCCTCAGTGACTTGGGAGACCCAGCAAGAGGATTGACTGACTTCAAGAACATTCTGGGCAAAATAGCAAAGCACTATCTCGAAGATCTTCTCCGTCCATTAAATAGGCTTTGCAACTTTGTCAAGAAGCTACCAACTCCAATCATGGTGACAGACACCTTCATTTCCAGCACTCGGGACAGAGGCAGGGTGGTATCTGTGAGCTTGAGACCAGCCTGGTCTACAAAGAGAGTTCCAGGCCAGTCAGAGTTATGTGGTGAGATCCTGTCTTAAGATTAAAAAAAAGAAGAAGAAAAAGAAAAGAAAAAAAACACTGCTAAAAGCATAAAGATTTACTTTTGGACTCTCAGTGCTTTCATGGATCTGTATACAGATGGTACCTTGAGGTTCTGACTTTACAGTAGTGTATATCCGGAAGGGATTCAACAGAAACTGGAATTTGATGCTATGTAGTTTAGATATCAATGTGGATTTTCCAATTAAGGTATTTTTAAAATTAAAGCCAGTATTCATTCTGAGTGTATGCTTGGGTGTGGATACACCAATACCACGGTGCTCCCATGGAGGTCAGATGTCAACTGTGGTAGTCTGTTCTCTCCTCAGTGTGGCTCCTGAGAGCTGAGGTCGTCAGGCTTGCAGCAAGCCAAGCCATCTCCTAGGCTTCTTCAAACAGAGGTGTTTTACGACGGCACAGGTCTGGAACCCTAGCAGAGGCAGGAAGATGGCCACAAATACAGGAACAGCCTCAGTTAAATAGGAAGTTTGAGTCTAGCAGGGGTTACATGTCAAGACGCCAAGATGTCATTTTGGAAAGCCAACAATGAGCCAGAGAAATGGCTCAGTAGTTAAGAGCACTTGCTGCTCTAGCAGAGGACCTAGGTTCAGTTCCTAGCACCCATATAGTGGCTCACAACCATCTCTAACTCCGGCCTCAGGAGTTCTGACGTCCTCTTCTGGCCTCCTTGGGCATCAGGCAAGAATGTGCTATACTCAAATATATGTAGGCAAACACAAACACATAAATAAAAATAAATAAATCTTTAAAACAAAACTAAGTCCAAAACGTGAAACAACAAAAACTAGGCTTTGTTTATCTGTTTGCTTGTTCATTTATTTATTTTGTTTTGTCTTTTGAGACAAGATTTCTTTGTGTAGCCTTATCTATCCTGGAACTTGCTCTGTAGACCAGGTTGGCCTTGAACGCATAGAGATCTGCCTGCCTCAGCCTCTGGACTGCTGGGATTAAAGGCATGCACCATCACTACCTGGCCAAAAACTAGGTTTGTTTTCTTTTTTTTTTTTCTTTTTTTTTTTTTCTTTCTTTCTTTCTTTTTTTTTTGTGTTTTTTTGAGACAGGGTTTCTCTGTGTAGCCCTGGCTGTCCTAGAACTCACTCTGTAGACCAGGCTGGCCTCGAACTCAGAAATCTGCCTGCCTCTGCCTCCCAAGTGCTGGGATTAAAGGCGTGCGCCACCACCGCCCGGCTCTTATTTTTTTTCTTTTAGATTTACTTTTATTTACTTTTGTTCATTTTATGTATTTACTTTATGTATGACTACTTGGCTGCATGTACACATGCGTGCCAGAAGAGGACATCAGATCTTCTTATAGATGGTTGTGAGCAGCTATGTGGTTGCTGGGAATTGAACTCAGAAGGACCTCTGGAAGAGCAGCCAGTGTTCTTAAGTACTGGGCCATCTCTCCAGCCCCCCAAGCTAAGTTTTATCCAGATGTAATAGCATCTTAAGACAAGGAGCATCAGTAAACCGGTTCCTTCTCATGTGCCTTTCACTTTAACTTTTTTTGGTTGGAGATGTTCTTGCAATGGCATACTTCAGGCTGGCCTTGAACTTTTAACTCTCCTCAGTACTGGGATTACACATTCAGCTTGTGGTGACTTTTATCTTAAATTTAAATTAACTGATACATATTTAAAATTCACCCTTGGTGGGCAAGAAAGCTGAGTGGTTAAAGGCATTCGCCGCCAAGCTTGATGTCATGAGTTTTGATTCCCAGAATCCACCAAGCAACACTTCCTTATGGATCTTTTGGTGAGTCCTGACACATACCCTAATACATCTACCCCATAAGGCCCCAGACAGAACAGTTTCCAAGCCCCTACAAGCCCCTGTCCCCTACTGTTAGCCCCTTCTGTCTCCTCCCCAGGACCTCAGATCTGCTCTGCACCTTCCCTGTCCTTGAGTCCTCATTCTAGATCAGTGTTTCTCAAGCTGTGGATCTCGACCCTCTTGGGTGAGGGGTCTGTGTCGAATGAGCCTTTTACAGAGGTTGCCTAAGACCACTGGAAAACATATCTTTACATTATGATTCACGACAGTAGCAAAGTAACAGTTATGAAATAGCCACAAAAATAATTTTATGGTTAGGGGCCACCACAACATGAGGAACTGTATTAAAGGGTCCCAGCATTAGGAAGGGTGATGGAATCCTGGGGCTGGAGAGAGATGGCTCTGGGGGCTGAGAACACCTGGTGCTCTTCTGGAGGACCAAACTGCCGTAACTCCAGCTGTGGAAGACCTGGTAAGTTCCTCTGCAGGAACCTATACACATCACACACACACGCACACACACACACACACACACACACACAGAGAGAGAGAGAGAGAGAGAGAGAGAGAGAGAGAGAGAGAGAGAGAGAGAGAGAGAGAGAGAATAGCACTCAGCCCCTCTTGAGTCTGGCTTTCCTCCAGCCCAGCCTTCTACACAGTGATCTTTCAGAGTGCAGCCCCCGGCCTGTGGTTCTCGCAGGGTCTGGCTTCTGCCCACCACTCCTGCCAGTCTGGACAAACAGGATGGATGGCTCTCAAACCTGGTTTGCAAAACAGTCACCTGAGGGCTTGTCAATACCTCACATTCCTGGGGCTCTGCCTCAGCGCTGGAGCTGGAGACTCTGGTAGTTGAGGAGGGGTGCACAGATCTGCCCTTTCCATAGCAGCATAAGAGGCTCGGAGACTGTGTGTGTCCCAT